ACGTTGATACAATTGGATTTCTCCTCATTAGAAAAATTGCTTGTCAATCGTACTAATTCTTCTATCATCAACTTATTATTCCATTTTTAACAATTTGAAAATTATTTAAAAATTGGCTACAAAAGCTCTGCTCACTTCTTTTTTGAATTTTTTATACCATTGTCTTTCAGTTAGACGGGCACCTGTTGCAATAAATAGCGAAGATGTTGATAACTATGACAGTGAAGAGCTCGAGGATGAAAGTGGCTACCATTCCAACGAAGACATGGACACAGAATTCAGCAGTTCCATGCGGTAAGGAAAATATTTTCAAATAACTGGAATAGGCTCTAAATTATAGGGAAGTGATTGAAAATGGTAGGAAATAGTTACAGAAAACTAACGCTTGGTGATTTCATTGTCAATGGGTATGTGTCGAAACCCTCCACGTCTGCACAAAGGGTGAGAAAGCCTAGCAGTAGCTCTGGGGTCACTTCTTCTTTTGAGGTATCAGTGTTCAATCAGTTACAAAATTTCACATAACATGAACATCAAGGAAATATTCCCTTCAGGAGGTTTTTGCGGAACCTGTCAATTTGCTAGACATTTCGAGTGCAACTGGAGCTCCTCATGTTTTTGAGGTTTATGACATCAAAATCAATGGTTTGGATGCATTTGACTTAAAGCAGGAGGTGGGATATAAACAAAAAAGAACGTAAAAGCTTGAAGTTGAGGTTTTCACCCTAATTTTTGAGAACAGCATTTCACTAAAGAATATTTTCTCTACTTTGTGACGAAAAGCAGTTTTCCTATCAGCAGTTTATCTTTGAATAACCAATAGTTTGAAATAGAAATATCCTCTTCAAATGAAAATTGCGTTCACTTCAGATTCCTCTATTAATGCCTGGATACTGTACTGTGCGATGGTTTGGTACTGAATGTGTATCCTTATCAACTAAGAAGGATGTAACTCCTAAGTTTGTTCTATTCTTCGAAGTTCTAAAGAAGGAGGGTATCCTCAGGTAAGATTTAGTCTTCAAGTATAGTCTTCTTAGTCTTGAAAGCTCAATGGAGTTTCCATTTATGGTTTTGGAAGCCTCAGTAAATATTTTAGGATTTGTATCAATGCAAATGCAGAGTTTACTCCTGGAAAAACGAAGCATGACTTGCGGAGACTTCTCGTTACCAGGAAAAACTTCCCTTCACTGTTTCACGATTTTATAGACT